TAATAATAATAATAATAATAATAATAATAATAATAATAATAATAATAATAATAATAATAATAATAATAATAATAAACCTTGAGATTTCATATTATCAATGCAATATTTAAATTCCAAATCTGATAATAGTTTATCAAATTTAGAAATCATTTTCAAAACAGATGCTGCAAAAGCTTGTGCTGTTTGACAATAAATTATACAAGATCCACTACATAGTCTTTAAAAATAGAATAAAAAATGTCAAAAAATTGGTGATAAATAAATATATATAAATATAAAGAAAAATATACTTCATAGAAATAGATCGAAGTTTTTCTATTTCATTTGCATGTTCACAGAAAAATTCTAGTATTGATTTAAAACTGCCACAAGTTAAATGAGTTAAATTTGCATTAAGTATGACCTGATATAGCAAAAAAAAATTTTTTTATTAAATATATAAAATTTATTAGAAATAGTAAACCAATATAATATTATAAATATAATAAATAAAATATAATACTTTGAAAATTCCATGAGAATCTTGTTGAAATAGAAAACTTGGTCGACCAGATAAAACAAATAAAACTTCACGAATTGCATCATATTCAGTAATGTATTTGCATTTAGTGCTGTCGTAAAAAAGGTAACGTTTGTCCTGGCTTCTGTGTCGTGAAATTGATGGTGCTTTTATATTTTATTTTAAATCTCTGATCAAGTCAAAAAGTATACAATCAAGAATAATATGATAATTTATGAGTAAGTCTTTACCTAATGTACTTGCATCATTGGCATCAAATTCTACAGCTTATTAAAATAAACAAAGTATGAGTGAATCAATGAATGAATATGTTTGTTTGTTTGACTGACTTACACAATGTTGCAGAATTATTACAAAAATTATCTCTCCAATATTGTTTTGACTTGAGATGATTAACAGTAGCATAATCAACTTCTTGTTTAAATTCCCTATCAACACTTTAAATCAGCAAAGTTTTCAATGTAATTTTCTTTTGTAATTAACTTAAACAATTCAAGCCAAATAAATAATAAACTTACATTTATATCAATTATTGTTATGTGAATTTGAAATTGTGAATTATTCACGCGCATGAAATTCAAAATTAGCCAATCAGAATTTTGTATCCCAACAATTTTTTCCGAAATTTTTTACACTAATACTAAACAAAAATGTTTAAGCGCGACAAAAACCAAAAACCAACCAAACCTTTGCTTTATACCAAAGTAAATACCAAAACCTCAGAGTTCCATACTATTCTGATAACCAAACGGACAATTAACTCACTGTTTAATTTCCGACCACAAAAGTGTTTTATTAAACAATTATGTATAAACATCTTTCTACGTTTATCCATGTATTATTTATTATTTATTATTATGAATAAATTGGTAAATTGATGGATGAAGAATTCAATAAAAAAGTGTAGTTAATGACAAAATTATTATCTGTTACACGAGGATTTCAAGTCCAGATTCTCTCTATAACAAATATTTTTTCCAATCCCAATGATCCATTATAGAGAGTGTGAATTGTACCTGTTGATAGCCCCTACCGCTGTGACGAGGTTTGACTAGTGATGTTAGCCGTTTAAAAATCCTTAGCCGGCTAAGCCGTTTACTACCTAAATTGGTAATTTTATTTCTATATATAACAAGAAAATAACGCAGAAATCTATTACCAAATTTAGAAATTATGCGTGCAGATTATTAGCTGGCTAACATCACTAGGTTTGACCTGTAATTCTCTTCCCGTTCATCTGGAAAATTCACGTGACAAAAGATCTTCAATATAAGGGAAAATTTTTCAAATTTTTATTTAGTCTATTTTTGATATAAACTTTTTTGTGTAACACATCATTTTAGGGCTAAACATAGTAAATTCGGTAAACTTGTGCAACTTTGAAGCTCAAATTCTCCACAACATGACATATTAATATCAATGAGATGAAATCGTGATTTTGTAGGGGGAAGGTCTTGGCTTCAAATACACGATTTATTTTGGGTTGTTGCATTTCCATTTTTGGAGAATAAAAAGTTGTGGGACTAAGTGACTTGCACTGTTGATCAGTGATTACCTAATACTAATCTAATCTAATTTACTGCGGATCTGATACAATAATAACGTAAGATGTCAAAAACCCAATTGATTAATTTATGTAATGATGCAAGAATTCCATCTCTTTTTACTTTTAAAGAATATGAAAACGGTAACTTGATATATGTGTGTGTGTGTGTGTGTGTGTGTGTGTGATTTTATTTATTTTTACTTTTTGAGTTAAATATCTACTATTAATATATATATATAAGATGATATTGATATATTAAATCAAGCAAGCCAATTTAAAATTAAAGCTGAAGCAGCTCTTTATAAAATTCAAAATGGTATCAATCTTGAATCTGAACTTGATGATGAAACAATATATAATATTATATACGCTTGTTCTTTGTTTATAGCTGAACCATTGTCAAATTTAAATCTTGAAAATCTAAAACAATCAGCTAAATGTAAGTGATGATGGATGATTAAGATTATAACAATTTATATAATTTATTAATTTAACTTTCTCTATTAGCAATAATGAATTCGTTAGTTACCTTACAACCAAAAAGATTTATATCAGTTTCACATATGATTCAAATATTCACTCCGATGATATTAGAAAAATTCGTAAAATCAGTATTTATGAAACATCCAGACTTTAAAACAAAAAATAAATCTTTGGCAAAAATGGATGTAGACATTGAATTGCTGAGGATTGAAATGTATCAAGCGTCCGGTGTACTTTACTGGTGTGTCACGCAATTTAAAGTAATCATAGCCTTTCGGTCTTTATTGTATTTTTTAAATTATCATAATGTTAACAATATTAATGATAATCATCTTTATTATAAGCACCCAAATTTAGAAAAAATCATGAATAATGTTATTTCACCGGTATTAATGCTTATAGATGATTATAATTTTAAATTTAAGCTTCGTGGTGTATTATTAATTGATCATTTGATAAAAGAAATAAGTCCAGCAATAATTAAGCGTACAGGTTTAGGAGAAGTTTTTTATGAGGTTTCTCAATCTTTCATAATTTTTTTTATACCTGCTTATATATATATATATTTATTTATTATTAATTAACTAATAATAATAATAATAAATTATTATTATTATTATAAAAAATTTCTAGGCACTTTTTAAATGTCTTGCTCACCAACTTGAACCTTCAGATTTGGTTTTATTAAAACCTAGTTTTGCCGCCATCCTAAATCTTATCACTTATACAGAATCATCAGGATCTGAGTCAAGATATAAAAAATTGGATAATATATTCAACATATTTGTTGTTAAAGGACTAACAATTAAATATGACAAAATTATATTAAGACAATTTTTGTTACAACAAATTCCTTTTTTTGTAGATGAACTAGGAATTATGACTGTTAAACATTTAAATGTATGGGGGGGGGTTTTAATTAAATTTTTCTATAAATTTTACAAAAAATTGATTTTTTTTTTAATTTTTTTAGGAGCTATTGAAAGAAATTTCAAGTTCGTTGGAAGTTACATTGGAACTTCCTAATATTCGTTTTAAAGATGAAATATTAAGTTTACACATTTCTGCAGCAAAAGCAATAGAAAAAATAATTGTTAAATGTTGGCCAAGGTAAAAAAAAAATAAATTCATAAATTTATTATTTAATCTATCAATACTAATTGCATTAAATTATATATTTGTTGATTTATTATAAGAATAGCACACTATAAAGGTTTAATATTAAAATCAATAGCATCATCTTGGTGTCAAGTAAAGCATCTTGAAGAGAATGGTAATTTTATATATACATATACGCACATAGCTAATATTTTAATTGATATGAAATGGTTTCTTTTTTAAAAAAACTTAGATAATCCTTACAAGGAAAAAATAGAACTATTGAAAAATACATTGCATAAGGCATGCCAGCTTTTAAAATATGCATGTATGGATGATCAAATTGCTTTTAAGGTTCGTTATTATCTCATTATTTTAAATTGATTATATGCGCACACATACAACCTTTCTCATTTATATCTAACTGAAATAGAGAGATGTTGATGCTTTAAGAAAATTGGATATTAAGATGTTTGGGGATTTATTGAATGATTTATAGAAAGTAATGTGCTTACACTATTTAACTATTGATCATTTATTATTTGTTTCTAGTGATGATTTTTCCTTTCATCGATTCTTTTGTATGTATGTACTAATTGTATTAAAATTAATATTTCATATTAATATTTCTTGCATAATTATTCATTATTAAGAATAACATATACATACCTTTCAATATTTCTTCATCTACTACTACACACGAAAAGATAACTACCCTGTCGACCAAATAAATAATCAGTTTGTATTGGCAATCAGTTCCATGAAGCTGAAGGAAACAATCAATCCCAAATTGGATTTTGTAAATTTGATGTGGCTTTGTGATAAAAATCACTATTGGAAGTTTATCACTTTTAAGAATTATTGTTGTATTGCTTCTTGAAGAATTCGTAAATTAATTCAGATAATGGATAATGCCTTTTGTCTATTTATCTATAGATCATCAAATAATCATTAAAGCCAAAGTTACAAACGACAAACAAAATAAATATGCTAATTCAAAAATAATTACAACCAAATTAACAATTATCTAGTTCTCTTGATTTGTTGATATAAAGAACATTTGTTCAAGTTAATAAAAACAAACACTAAAGAATTATTAAATAGTAATAATAATAAAGTTGCATAATGTCAAAAAAATCATTATGTAAATTAAATAATGAATGGAATCCATTTTTGGTGGGGAGAATTTGGATTTAGAAATTAAACTTTGGTAAAATTTTTAAAGAAAAATGTTTAAGAGCAAGTGGCTATGTGTATTTGTTTTTTACGCGTTTTGAAATTGTCATTCCGTTGATTAATTGATTGGAGATATTTTTAGAAATGGCGGGTTGATTCGATAAAAAAATCTAAAATTCATTTTTCTCCACTACTTTTTAAATAGGAAACTAAAAAAGTCATTATAAATATGATTTTAGATTTATTTTTTCCATTTAAAAAAAAAAAATAATGTAACACATATTATAAAATTTTCTAAGGGTCATGTGACGAATACGGAGGATAAATGTGACCTATGAAGAAAAGAATGTGATTTCATAAACCAAATAACAACGACGGAGTTCAGAATGCTTTAATTTGAAAAATAATATTTCGATGCTATTTGTTCGACATTCAATATACTCAATATATATGTTTCAATATTATTGGTTGGATAACTTTATTTGTAACTATTACTACATTGTAAATGAGAAGCGTTCGTAGAAAGTGGCGTTGTGTATCAAGTGGCGCCGATCGCTGAGTAAAACGTGACCGTTTATGGAAATATTACACTGAAACATGCAAAGTCTTTGATTGGTCGGAAGTGTACTATAAAAAAGATAAACAAATAAATAAGAAATTAAATTTGTTTGTTTATTTGTTTGTTTGTTTGTTTGTTTGTTTGTTGTGAAATAATTCAATTTCTGATCATTTTCTGCTTTATTAATTTGGATTTTTTATTATTTTTTTTTTTATATTTATCGGCATTTTATGTCTAAAAATAGAAGAAAAAAAGAATACTAAAGATCATTTTTGAAATAGAAGAAGAATAAAGGAATACATCAAAAGTCTATTCTTGTAACCGAAAATAAATATTTCCTTTTAATTCACATCCATTCAATTTTGAAAACTATTTAAACAGCTGTTTCTTTTCTTTTCTAGAATTTTTTTTTCACTTAAGAAATAAAAATAATAAATAATATATTTGTTTTCGAAAGTGTATATGCGCACATACATACATACATATACATATAAATACATACGCTATAAATACTTATTTCTTTAAAATCTAAAAAATTTTGGAATGGGAAAAATTAACAAAATTAACAAAATCAAAGGGCTCGTCAGATCCTCTAACAATAAAAACAACGAAGACTCATCCATCAATGTTGACATCCCGGCGGAATTGGATCTATATTGGATTCATAATCCGCGCTATTCGGTCACCGAACTGATTTCCACAAAGGCCAGCGCCAGACCACGACCACCAAATAGGGGGCCCCCTCGGCCCCCGAATTCTTTTTTTTTGATGAAGAATTGTTATATGTTGGAGGTTAAGGGCCTGGGGTACAGGTTCCCCATGCCGAAAATTTGTCGGCAGGCCCAATTAATCTGGAAAAATCTGCCGTCAACCGTCAAGAAAAAATATGATGAGTTGGCAATAAAAGCGGTGGTAATCCATCAGAACTTGTACCCGGGTTACAAGTTCAGCCCCAAACCGCGCCAATCCTTTAAAAATACCTTCGCTCCTCCTGCAAACAATTGCCACCGAGAAAGTTCCAACATAATAACGTTCAGCATAAATTTTTATAATGAACCTCCATCACCACCATCACCACCATCACCACCATCACCACCACCATCACCACCATCACCACCATCACCACCATCACCACCATCACCACCACCACTACTACCACCATCGTCATCACCATCATTATCATCATTACCATCATTATCATCATTACCATCACCATCATCATTGCCATCATTATCATCATTACCATCACTATCATCATTATCATCATTGACATCATCATCATTATCATTATTACCACCATTTTCAAGCGTCCCTTTTGGATTAATACCAGAATCAACGGCGTCAACATTGATGCCATCACAATTTATTTCATATTATGATCCTCTGGGTTTATTCTTTTATAATAATTTAGACGGTTTAGATGCGTCTTTTATTAACTATGAAGAAATTTATGACATGTTATTTCGCGGTAACATGTTATTAAATAATATTAATAATAATAGTAGTAGTAGTAGTAATGGGTATGATGGGTATGATGGTAGTTTATTTCAAACCGAAGAAACAATTCAAAGTGATGAATTTTTATTTGATCCAATCTCGGAGAACAGGAACCACTAAACTAACTTATTAAATATTATTGTATATATCGTCGTCATTATTAAAACAAACATTAAATCTGAGATTTATCCTTTTTTTTTATTCTTCCAACGTTAATATTCTAAAATATCGTGCACGATTTTTAAATTATGCATAAGTTTTCTGTTTATTTTTTATTATTTCAAGTTATGAGCATTAAGTTTTATCTTTTTCAATTCCTTCGATTTTATGGATTGTTTGAATCGATTTTATTTTATTTTATTTTATTTTATTTTATTTTATTTTATTTTATCGGATATTATATTATATATTATGTGTTATTATTATTATTATCAGAATAAAAAAAAAACCATTTTCAATTTTCAAAATTCTAAGATTTGATTTTAATGTAACTCGACATAGGGTGCTTTTGATACTAATACAATAAATACCATTCTTTTTACCATTTTTGTTTTATGAAACACAGAAAAGTTTGTGATATGAAAATGAATGCTTTTTTTTTTCTCTGATTATTATGCGTTTTTTTCTTCACAACATAATTTCTGACCCAATCAATATATTTGTAGTATTAAAAAAATTTTATTGATAATTAATTTTCCAAACGAAGGTGGAACAATCACACAATTATTTTTCTTAAAATAATTTTCTTGGTAATGTATGCGCCTCTTTTATAAAAAATGAATTAAATTAATTGAATTGTCATCATTTATCATTTATCATTAATAATTTTAATCAGTATTGTTGTCTATTTATAGAGATAATGCGTGTGTGTTTTTGGTGTAAAGGAGGGCGCAGATGTTCCACTTCTTTCAAACTTCTGACTTCTGTTTCGTTGCATAAAATTAACTCTGGACATAAAATTCCGTTTTGTCAAATCATCATCATTTGACCTATAAAAAATCGCATCATTGCTTCTAATGATGCGACTTAATTGGGTAAGTTACGCTATTCAAATTCAACATCTGCTTTTTTATTGAAAAAGGAGAAAAAATTTTTTGAATAATTTTTATTTATTACACAAAAGTCGATTATACTGTATGTTTCCTAGGCATCCCTTGTTGTATTTCCGTAACATATTTTAATATTAAAAATATAGAATATTAAGGACTCCGTTTATATCTCTATCAAGGATGACAATCATTTGTATATCTAAAGGTCTTTGAAAGCTCCAGACTTCGTTTGATGGCCGCATGTTTTGCTTGTGTATTCTTCAGCGCTGATGACAACCTTGCACGATGCTCGCGGTGTTTATGGAGTAGATGTTGTTTAAACAGGTAATGTCACCAGGTCAACGCTTTCTTGCGATTTAGAACTGATTTTTTATAACAATGTCTTGTAGTAAAAACAATATGATGGTTTCACATAACCGCTTTACAAATTCGTCCACAAGATTAGAATTTTCCTGTGGATCTGGAGAATGCATCGACAGAGCCTATATTATTTTTTTACCATGAATAGAATTCTATTTACTTTGGATTCTACCAAGACGATGGCATAAGCATTTTATTCTACCCACGTCTTTTTCCTCCCATTCAGTAACTTGACCGCATGGATTATATCCAGTCACGAAAGTTCTCATTCTTGGGTCAAGAACAATGAAGCCGGTGTCTTTATTCACCTCAACCGCTGGAAATATATAACCTTAATTTCAAGCGTTTATTGATGCATAAACGGTTCATGGTGAGATGACAGTCATATTTTATTTCAGGTATTTCCTCACTTGATATAATACCTTTGAGGAATGAAAATTCATCCTCAATCCGTTGACCTAATGACAGTTAACCGTAATTTAATTTAAGATAAGGACCAAAGTGCATTTACAGTGTTGAAATTACATCTTTAAGCCTTTCCATCTGCCTTCTACCAAATGAAAATTTTTTACGGAAAACAATACTTTTTCAATATTCATATGTTTTATAGGGATTTATGCAAGGGCGATATTATATAATTGAGTGAATTAACTGTGAACTATGACCTTTGAGCTATTTTCTTAAAGAGTCATAGCATTTGTCTGGACATATTATTCCAACAACACTAGTTTTGAGTTCTTGTGTGAGCACATTACAGGATGGATCAAATTTTCTCACGTTTGAAGAAGAAGTTGACCGCGATGGTCCACCATAGTAATAGCTAACTGAGGAAGATTACATTAAAGAAATTCAATAAAAATATTGAATCATCAAGTTGTGCAGATACTTGTGGTTTCGTCACATCGTCCGTGATATAGTTTTTCTCCTATTGATGATAATTTTCAAACCTCAAATATATTGACACATCAATAACAAGATCAACAACACCATGACAACAATAACGATAACGACAAGATAGGATTATCAAATTATCAAATTATGAAAAATATCTGTAAAAATGTGTGCCTCGGAGATGAATGAAGAATTATTATCATTATATGTATGTTGCAATGATGCAAGAAGCTTTATGATGAATTTTTGTTGGTGTTAAAGTTGTTCTTTATTTTTATTCATGATTTATAGTGTGAAAAGGGCATGCATTATCGTGATGACAGTAATAGATAATTATTTATCGATTAATAATCCCATGGGGCCATTAATGTAATTATCACCAAAAGAGTTATTTGTTACACGCTAAGAAAAATCACCTGATGACAGGATCAACAACCAATCAAAGCGGATTTTTATCATGCGTGTTGTTCACTTTATTATTCGTATCAGCAAGTCCAAACTTTCTAAATGGCAGAGATTCGGTGCTATCAAGAAAAATATAAAGAGTACACTTAAATCTACCATCGATTCATTACATGACGTATGTCCATTAAATGTCTCTCGTGAGATTATATCCAAATCACTTCATGATATTCTATGTAAAGACAAAGTTTTTCGTGAACAGTCAGAAATACACAATAGAATATTTAATTGGTTTGAGGAAAAAAATTCTTCCGAACCATCAAGACCATATGCAGTATTCAAAAAACGAGTTTATTCATCTGCTTTTTTTGGATCAAAAGTGTTTACCAATAACTACAATACCGACAAAAACCGAGAATCATTTCTCCACCTGTCAGGCAGATTTATTCCTTCAGTGACAATGGATAAAAGCTTCCGCCTTTCAGGGTGTATGGGCATGGATATCTCTGATGTCGATCTCCGGGGATTTTGTCTGGGTAACTCACTCTATGATCGACAAACTCATGGGTTGGATAATTATAATATGTCCTCTACAGGCAAAACCTTTATCCACGCTCCTGTTGATCTTTAAGAACAATGTTCGGAATAAAATGGCACACGGTATCTTAATAGATCAAAAAGGTCGATGGGGTGATCATGCACTCAAAAATGTTGCTATTCTTGCGTGTGAGGTCGTCACATGTTTAAGTAATTTATAACAATAACATTGATTTTGTATAAAAGTGTTGTCTCATTATTTCTTTTGATACTAGGTGATAATTAAAGAATTATATGCTATAAAAGAAAGACTGGACAATAAAATTATTAAAAAATGGATGGAAAAAACAACTTTAGGGGTCAAAAATGAGAACCAGTCACAAACACTGAAAAGAAAATATGATGACTCTAATTTTTGTGAAATGACAAAATTCGTTAAAGGTATTTTAAAAGAGGTTAATGAAACGAAAGAGGGATCCAAACAAAAAATAATGAAGCTGGTGTTAAGGGAAGATGAAGATTTAATACAGATATGGAGATCTGTTAAAACGACATTAGTGCAAAAGAGAGCAATCCCTTGCATTTAATTTAATGAGTATTAAATTTTAAACTTTCTGTGTATGATAAATCTCTTATGTAAAATCCACACTCACTATATTCTATTTACGGGACTTAAAGTGCATTAACACGAAATCGGAATCCCTATTCTAATTCACCTGAAGCAAAACAGGTCATGTATATGGTAACTATAGTCAGCAACGTGGTGTGTATGGAATAAGTTCTCGTGCAATTTTCACCTCCATGTAGGTCGTGGTTGTGGTTGCGTAACTTAAAGCTTAGAATGAATATATAGTTTGTTCTAGGGATATAAGTTTCGCTGGTATGCAAGCTATACTCTTAAGACATAACTTTTTATAATGGTTATCAAGTTACTGATCTTTGCTGAACTCGATGGTTTAACAAAGCTACTTACCCACATTAATTACAACCATTTTTTTTTTAGGACTATATATCAAAAAATGATAAGCAAGAATATGCCAAAGTTTGCCAGAATAGAAAAAAATTATTCTTGTATTGGATCACATCCCTCACTTTACAATAAATAGATTGTTTTACTAAACGATGGTCTTGTAGAGCAAGTGAATTGTAAAATGTTATTTTGCATGACATGCCTATGATATAATGAAAATGTTTATTGTATGGGAGTATCAATTAACGTACAAGTAACAATCATGGAACAATTGATATGTACAAATTCATGTGCTGCGACTAAACGTTTTTTAATCCGAATCCCTAATGTATATAGCTATACATTATTGAATATGTAAAAGTTAGCACTAAACATGGATATAAACGTTAAGATGGATAAAAATATTCTCGAAGTAATATCCACCGAAAGAGATTCAAGAAAACTATTTTTGGTAGGTTGATAATTGTCATTTAAAACAAAATAAACAATAATAATTGATTTTATTTTATATTAATTTCAGGTAATGAATTGTTATTTAAATTGAACCGGGAATGTTTTGGTATAACTAAATTCCCAGACAATGGAAATTATGTAATAGTTTTAGGTTATTCTCCGGAGAGAAATTTACAATAATGTAAAATTTTTATCACCATATTTATATAATCTTTTAACAAAGCAGGCTTGATGATACCAGTGACCTTTTCTGGGGGATGCCTGCTTACTGCAATATCTTGCTATTTAATCACTAATAAAATAAAAATCAAATTATTTAATCAATTAGATGATGTTTATTTTGTTAAATTATAATATAATACTTACCCCCTGGTTATTATAAAGAAATAAAAAATCAAATTATTTAATTAGATGATGTCTTAATAAAGGTTTATTTTGTAAAATATTTGTTTACCTTTATAGAATTTAGCCAAGTATTATTTTATTATAAGTAAAATATTAAATTATGACTACATATTTTTAAAATAGTTATTTTCTGTGTAAGAAAAAAATACTAATACCTTCATTCATTGTTTTACTGGGAGCAAGAATTTCCCCAATTTAAGAAATTGTCAGTCCGAAAATTAAAATTTTAGAAGATCTCTCTAATTTAAGTGATCAGATTTCTTTTATTGGAAAAATTTTCTGTATCACGAAAACTTTTAAGCCGATCATCGACCTTTTAGGAATTCACAAGGGAAGATCATTCCGAAATTTTACAATTTACATATATAAAACGACCTAACTTTGAAGCCTTATGACTCAAAACTTTTCTAATTAAAAGAAAAAATAAACTGACGGAAATGAAGCTTAGGACTTTAGCTTTAATTCTATCGGTTTACTTTTTTCTTTTTCTTTTTTAATAAGGAGTTATAAGCTTTTAAAGTCTGTGATAATCATTGACATCCTGCACTATAAGTATATATGATTTAACAAATAATAATATTAAATAACACAACGTATGTCTTGAATGTAGGTTTTTTTTTGTATAAGAATGATGCAATATGATTAATTGCATTTTATATAGGGATTTCTTTTTAATTACGTAATAGCAAATAGGAATTGAACCACTAAATTTGATCCCTAAATTTTCTTTGCGACATAATGTTCGTTTTGTTGGTTTCGTTGCGGTAATGTTACGATTCGGATCCTTTAAAAATATTCGATCCCTTTAATATTAAAGATTTTCCAACCGGATCAGGGACAATGATTTTCTGCGCAAAATGCCGCAGAAATCACGGAAATTACTATAATAATAATGCACCGCAGATAATATAAAGATGGGAATTTATTAAGTATAACATACATGATAATTTTTTAGAAGAGGTAACAAGAACATACAATCAATACTAGAGTAGAAGAAAATCCTGGTGAATTTCACATTGACAATGGAATTTTATTTTGTGATTTTTTGTGACCATTCAGTTGATGACCATCTTAATAGCAAATAATGTCAACTTCAACAAACACTTGATACTTCTCTTTCTTCTTTCGAATCTAAAAAAAATGAATGGGAAATTTATTGTGGACCCACGTTTAATAAAAGTTGCATTTAGGTGAATATTGGTCAAATATGGTTTATCTCAAATAGCATTTGAATATATATATGGTTACCAATTTCTTCTTGTAGTGTAGAACGAAGTTTTCTAAATATAATTCAATTTTAGATGATAATCGACAAAATTTATCTGAAGAGTCTTTACGAAGTTTAAATGTTCTTTATTTTTAGAATTTCTATTTTGTTATATTTTTAAATAAGAAAATTAAATAATAATAATAATAATAACAATAATAACAACCAATTTAATGGTCACGTAACTATTCCTTCTGATTGCACACAACCAAATCGTTTTAACTATAGTATCGTTATTTTTTTATTTTTTTTTTTTGAAAAAATCATAAAATCGCAGAATTACTCCAGAACGCACGGATATTATAATGGAAATTACGCAGAATATAGTAATAGTGATAGTGATAGTGTTTTTTAATGCACAGCATGCATGCGGAATTTGTTTTTAGCACATCACAGAAAATCATTGTGATTTGTAACAGCAAATACTATTGCTATTAATATGGTGCTAAGAGTAAAATATATATTGAAATATTTGTTGGAAGAATTTAAATTTTATTTAATTTGAAGGATGAATTGTTTCAAATCGTGATCTCGATAAAGCCATCATCAACAATACCAAACATACTCCATATTTTGAAAACATTGCAGCAGAACATGATGGTGAATAGAAGTATAACTTTTTAAGCTTTACAATTATTATGATTTATGTTTTCAAAAGAATTATAACAAAAAATAAATCAATATTTTAATAATAAGATTACAAAAGAAATTTCTTCCCACGCCCACCTTTAAATGCTGAGATGCTAAAGCAAATCAGGTGTTTAACTTAAATATATTATATTCAGATGAAGCTACAAAGTATCATATTACATGGTGGTCTGATTTAAAAAATGGAATACCAGCACTTTCTGAACTTACTACTAAACTTATGTCAATTCCTGCTTCATAAACAGCAGCAGCAGAAAGAAATTGGTGCCATTTTGGCTTTGTTCATAGACTAACTTATGACAGAATTTTTCAAATTGGTTTATATATACTCAAACCTTCGTTTGAATGACAAAGTTACAAATTATAATATAAATGATAATAATTTGTGAGATTGGAAGATAAAAATGATAATGAATATGATTTGCAAATCTTTCTATTTTTATACTTGTGATAAAAAAAACTTGTTATATTCATTCTGGTGCAAGATCTAACTTGGCAACAATTTGGTCAAATTAATCATAGTTTGCGCTTCCCAGTCATTGCATTTGGGACTTGTATATAATCCATAATAGCTGATAATCTTTTCCAAACCTTTATAAAAAAACAGACTATTGTTACAGTACCATAATCTCGATAAACTGACAAAGAAGAATAAATTATAGTCAATATTAATAAACAAGGATTAAAGAATGTAGTGCAAATTAGTTGTGTCGTAAATCATTATTCATAACGTGTCTGTTTAGTGCAGAGTTCTCAAAAAGTGAAATAACAGAGATCTTCATTTGATTTTGACACTATATGATAAATGTGATAAATCAAATGTTCCTTATGATTAATTTAAAGAATTATTAATTGCGTGGAATAAAGTCCTGGAAACTTCTAATTAAGGTCCTAGGACCCTTCAGGGTGAAAAAAATAAAGTTTGGGAAAGTAGAATATAGTACAAGGTAAAAAAATTCAGATCCCAGAAAATTTGGGTAAAAGGTCCAAATATCATACTAAATATGTATAAGATAGATAAACTAATAATAATCTTTGCCATCACGTGAGAGTACGAGTAAATTTAATTCAAAATTTTCTGGTCCTCAATTATTTATTGATTAATTAACTCTGTAATTATGTAGAATTTAAAGGAACTATTAATCGGAAAAGAACTAAATTTAAAACCCCAAGTCCACCTTGTACATTAGAACCTTTAATTAAAACAATATGTAGTAAAACTTTTTTTAAAACGGGTTCTTCAGATGGAACCAATTTTTGTCACAATACAAATATATTGTCACGTATATTAGTCAAAAAAAAATTTCATAGGGATTGGAATTCCACTGTAAAGTTTTAACGGCATTTTTTAAGTTAATGTAATGAATATTCTGTCAATACTATTTTTTTTATTAAAACAAAACGTCATTTTGAAATACATATATTGAAAAATGTAGACCTTTAAACTCATACTACATGACAAAAAATTGGCCCATTAATATACTAGTACATAAAAAGGTGGTTTAAAACAAGAATCAAGGGTTTGATTGTATACACATTAAAACTTATTATATTTAAATTTGCATAATTGCATAATTGTGTAATTGTGTAATTGCATAATTGCATAATTGTGTAATTGCATAATTGCATAATTGCATAATTGTGTAATTGCATAATTTGCATAATTTGCATAATTGCTTCAAAACTTAAAAATCTTATGAAATGAATAGTGTTTTCTCCTTAAAAAAAATTTCCCCCAATTCAAAATGTTTGTTTATTATTATTATTGTTTTATTAATAATAACCTCCAGCATCAAAATTATTCTCGGTGTAATTAGAGAAACTGGGAAATAATTGGGTGGCAATGTTTATTCTTTCTTCATTAGTTAATTCCTGATTTTCGACCGCCAAAATGTTAATGTCATCGCCGGTTTCTTTATTTTCTATTGGGTCTTTTGATGTGGCTGTATTATAATAATAATCGTCATTATCTTTGTTACTGTCATTTGTTGAAGGTGATGATGATGCTAAAATAATTTGCAAGAATTAAATGTTAAATGTTAAATGTTAAATGTTAAATAATATCAAAAAAACATATTGAACGATTGAACTTACGATTATACATTTGTATAAACAATTCCTTCTGCTTGTACGAGTTTTTGACTTTGTTTGAAAGCAACTCAAATTTGTATTTAAACCTCTGATCTAAACTGTTTCTCCATAGATCCGAAGCTATTTTAGAAATATGACATCTCACTAGTTTTTTTTGCGTGAGGTAGCCCTGAAGCACTATCCTAAAAAGTATGAATTTTGAGGGAGGCCTACATCCTTTGCAAACTTGCAGAATAGTCTGAGGATCGGGAAATTCAAAATTTTCTTCTGCGTTTGGGCCAATTTTTATATAATATTTATCATCTTCTTCAACATCTTTTCTGATTCTAATTATAGAATCAGGTCTAGACTTTAATGACTTTTTCAAAGATTTCCTGGGCATTTTTTATTTATAATCAGAGTTGTGTTGCGAAAGAAAAGATGGGGAAATGAAGAGGAGAATGGGTAAATTTAGCGTTTTTAAATAGAAAATAGAACCTAATAAAAGATTGTAGTGACAATAGGACATATTTTTTCCCTTAAGAGGTGAAACTAAATAGAAAAGCGAAATAATTAACTAGTCTTTGAAAAATATTACTAATATATATTTCTAGAGAACGCGATATTACCATTATAAACGTTAACATCACTTTTACAATAGCAATTTAGTACTACAAAAATTATTTTGTGACATTATGTGCAGCATTCTTAATTCGGTATGAATTTAAAATTTTACACTCGTTCATTGTTTATTGCCTTTCCTTATTTCCAAAGGTGAGTTTTATCAATTAATAATAATATTTTTTTTTTTCAAAGAAAAACCAATTAAATAATTATTAATCTTTTTATTTTTGTAAAAATTGTTTTCAAAATAGAAAAAATTTTTTTTATTGGATAATTGGAAAAGCTATATACACACAACACACACACGTCATACATATACATACATTATACATGTATTTTTTTATTTAAAGATATTTATCTGGTAAATAAAATCATATAAAAAACCAAATATAAAAAAAGAAAAAGATTAAGATAAACAAGTGGTTGATTAATTTATAATGAAACAGTATCAAATGTTGATGTCAGTTTGTTTACTTCCTTTCATATTAATAACAACACTTATACCCAATTTAATTGCAATTGTAATTTTGGAATAAATGCACAAGAACCCTGGTGATGCTAATACTACACCCACAACACCTGTAAATACACAACCGCCACCTAAGGTAACTTAATCTGTACCTTCTACTTTATTGCCAAAAGATACTACAACATTAGATGATCCAGTTCCAATAACTCCAAAGCTTCATACGCACATCACCCAAAGAAACATCAAAAAGTCAAACTTTGCAAGAAAATCAATAACCTACAGTAACACAAAAACTCACAGTATTTAGTAACTCTACAATCTTCAACAGCATCACAATCACTGTCATCATCCAGCGAACCACTAATAACTACCACAGTGAATCAATCAGAATCATCTCAAATGCTTAGTCAAACTGCTACACAAAATCTAAATCCAAATCCTAATAGTATGCCAAGTGATATCACTTCTGAGGATGCTGATGTTAATATTAATTAATAATGGTGATGGTGGTTGACAACTAAAACTGCAGTAATATCTGTTCCTATAATTATTATGGTAGATGCTACTATAGGTATATGGGAATATAAAAAATCAAATAACAATTTATTGATAAACGGAGATGAGGTTGTGCTAAGGTGATATTGTGGGTGATCCATTCCATTCAAAAATACACCGGATCAATATCATGCGGGGCATGCCACAACACAACCAGACAAAGTGAACATTTATGTCACAAAGATCAAAATTGTTTGACACTACAATTTTACTACCAATATAGCATGATATTAAATGAATACTTTTGTTTCTTCCACTTATCACTTAACTGATTGATGCACAGGATTATCACTATGAAAATAAAAACATTGTTTAAAACAAATTATAAATGTTACACATTCAAGTCCTGCATTATGTTTGAGCACCATGAGTTCAGGTAAAGAACCTACAAATCTTTCAATAATCATTGTTAAATGCAAATTTTATTCTATTAAAAAAGTAAATAATAAATATTTTCATTAACAATTTAATGGTGGATTTTTTTGTGAAGGCTGTTGATTGGGCTCTTGATTTTTTTTTAACTCACAAAAAACCAACTCTATGACATAAATCAAAAATTTGATGAAATAATCAATCAACAATCTCAAATGATGAAGTTCAATATTTTAACAGGATGGTTTGGTGTTTAAGGCCCAGAATTTTGTACTTAACTAGTAGTTAGAGAACCTAGTACTAGGGATCAACAGTCTCAAGGTTCATCCTATATGTTTATCCTTGTATTGGCTGGTTTTGTTACATATAAGTTAAGCATTATAATAGTCAGCATCACACACACACATTTATTATTTAAAACTTTTTTTAATTCACTTCATTACAAACTTTTTTTAATAATTGAGTGGGGAGGGGGATAAAATAATATATATATATATATATATATCTAATATTTAATGTAAATGTTTGCTAATATAAATGTTATGACTGAAATTTAATTTCTGTGAGTTAATTTAACCTTCAATTCAACACATCTAGTACCATCAAAGGGTTGCAGGCGCATAGGTTTATCACTCACCATTTCAAATTTATATTTTTTGTATAATAAAACAACCAATAATTTAATTTGATTTATTGCCAGATGTCTTCCTGGGCATATACGTAATCCACCACCAAAATGTAAAAATGTATTTTTAATAAAGGAATCATCTATTCCACTATTATTGTCATGATTTTTATTTAAGAATCTTGAAGGATTAAATTTAGTTGGCTCATTCCAATAATTTGGATTCATGTGTAAACTTTGAACATTTATTGTTAGTCGAGTTGAACCTGGAATTTTGTAATCACCTATTTGATCAAAATTTGCTGACTCACGATCAATTACTGTTCCAAGGGGGTTAATACGTAAAACTAACAATATAGATAAATTTATAAATTAAAAAATAAAATTTATAAATAACAATAATAAAAACACAATTATAAATTAATACCTTCTTTTATTACAGCTTCAATATATTCAAATTTTTTTAAATCTTCATAATCTAAATTAGATTTATCTCCAAATACTTTTTTAATTTCTTTAAGAATAATTTGTTCAACTTCAGGATAACTAGATACATAATATATAAGACATGATAAAACTGCAGATGACTTTTTTCAAGGAAAATTTTGATTATTAGTTTAATTAATTAATTTATCATCATTTAATATATAAATAAATACAAATATACATACAGTAACAATTCCTCCACCAAATGTTTCATTAAGAACATTATTAATTTCTTCATCAGTCATTGGTTCATCATTAAAATCATTTGCAATGCCTTGAGTAATATCTTTTGGAGTATTAATAGTTAATAACATATTCAACATATCAGGTGTCAGGTTTTCTTTATCGCTAATATTTTCAATTTTATCCTTACGTTCTTTGACTAAATTGTAAATATATTTTTCTCTTGATAAAAATTTGTTTAATAAATAATTTGAATAAATCTTTATCAATGGCAAATTACGTATATATGAAGGAATTGTTACATAATATCTCATACAATCTGCTCCAGGTTTTACATTATCAATATATTCATCCTCAGCAGTTTTAATTATATTGAAATCTTTTTTACTGGTTTTATAATAATTCAATAATGTATTAGATGATCTGTTTGTTGCTAATAACATTATATTTTCAGCAAAAATTCTTTTAATCCAAGGCACAAGATCAATTTCCAATACTTTTTTTTGATGAATTTCTTGATTCATAATAGATTCTCCCATTTCATCAATTAAAGAATCCCAATAAATTTCTAAATCTTTAAAAACACAATTTACAAGATTAGCTGAAAACTTTAATGCATTTGGAGCCATTATAGCTCTAATGAATATTTTTCTATTATCAGCCCATTTGTTAATGTCTCTATTCAGAACAATTCCCTTGTTGCTTTTTCCTAATTCATCTATTCCTTCATTAGGTGGAACACGTGACATGTAATTACTATTTCTCACTGGCTTCATGACATGTTCAATGATTTGTAGATTGTTAGTGATCAATTGTCTTTTAGATCCATTGTAAATTTCAACCACATCACCATATTTTAAATGTAATGAGTGAAACCATAATGGAGTATTAAAACGATGATAAAAGAGTTGATGTAAATTTCCTAATAATGGTAAAGGAAAAGGCCCTTTATAAGGATTTGGACGAGTAAAATAATTGTAATAATATTTTAATGATGAAAAAATTATTGTTATAAATAATATTGTTGCAAATGCTGAAACGATTTCTTTTAATGAAAACATTTTCTAACATCAAAAAAAAATATATATATTCGCGAGTAAATTTATCTTATCACGTGGTCATGAGTAACTATATAGGATACAGAAATTGTCTATCTTGGGAAAAAACTATATTTCGATGAGAATGGATCGTCGACTTTAAAAAAAAGTTTTTAAAGGTGGGTTCGGGATTGGCTATGTAACTATTGCTATTACCCATGTCAATGCTGTAGATTAATGATCTGCCTTTGTTAATTGTATATATCAAAAATAAAAACCAGGGCTCGAAGTTGTACTTTAAAAATCTGGTTTTTCTGAATTCTTAAAAATCCGGTTGAAATTCTTATTTTAATCATTTTAAGTAATAATAATAATAATAATAATAATAATAATACTATTGTTATTGTTCTTTTTTTCTTTCACATGCTCTTTATTTAATTCGCTAGTGCTGATCTATTTGTTATCCGAATGAAACTTTTTGAAAATTTTAATTTGTATGCCCACCTAACTAACATAATAATAAGGGTAGGGGGGATCACGTGGTATATTTAATAGTAAACAATGGCTCAAAAAAAAATAATGTCGATCATCATAATGATAATAACGTAATTCAATATTAATATTACAACGACCCTAGTACTATTTTTATTATTATTAAATAAAGGCCCCAGACTTTAACTCTCCATTCTTTTGAGTTTATATCCACATTTCCACAATGCTTGCAAGTGAATGTTAGTGTTAATTTCAATTAATTTTCTGTGGACATAATAAATATTGTTAAACTTAAATTATTGTCTTTAAATGATTTATTAACAGCATTTCCAATTTTCCAGATTATTTGTTAATATATTTTATCATAATCTAACTTATTCACAATGTGTATTTCTAGCTTCTTTTTTAATTTTTTTTACATTCTGATTTGCTTGATATAATTCAAGTTTGATATCAAAAGAGCTTGAGAACTTTTAATGATAAAAGGTAATCCATTAGGGAGTGTAGATACCACTTTCTCTACTATTCTATGAAAAATAATGCCGAAATTCCATATTATCAATAGTAAGAAAATAAAATAAAATTTATTATTATAAATATTTGTGTTTGAAGATTATTGTATATATCACTAATTTTTTACAAAAAAGATAGCTATAATCTTGTCATGATTACAAATAACAAAAACATCCTGCTAATGATAATGTTGATGAAGGAAATGTTAATAATAATAATGCTGAACAAAAACACAATAATAAAATTTTAACTTTTAATTTTGAAATTTGTTTTACAAAATATTTATTTTATTAATAAAATTTATATATGGTAAATAGTTTAAAAAAAAAGAAAGAAGGTGTTGTTAAATCTACTATAAAGACTAGATCTAAATCAAAAAAAAAAAAAAAGTGTAAGATATTAGGTAGATTATTTATTTTTAATTATGGATTTGAACAACTATATTCACTTCTACTAAAATATTGTTAGCAAGTTCATATTTTTTATTAGATTTTTTTTTTTCAACAAATTGAGGGTTTTTGGTTATTGATTTTTTTTTTATATACATATGCACATACATATGTATGTTTGCATATATTATCATAAATAAAATCAATTAAAGTTGCTAAAATTACAACTATACATGGGATGGCAATTGTTTTGTCAAAAACGTAATACGTAATTACGAAATTAATTACGGGTGACGAAATTAATTACGCGTAACGAAATCAATTACGAATGACGAAATTAAATGACACCTATTATTTATCTCGTTATACTAGTATAATGACATAATTTGTCAACTTTTTTTTAGAATTATAGAATTTATTCTGTTATAACGACATTTCAGTATAATGGGAGAACCATTCTAATCATTTCATAAGGAAATTAAAACTTACGCCGGGATCAAAATTGACCAGCATCATGGAAAACTCTGATAACACTTCCGTAGAATGCTGGTCAATTTTGACCCGGCGTAAGTTTTAAATTTCCTGATAGAATGATTAATTCAATGAATGAAATAAAAAAAAATATATAATAAAAATAAATTACAAAATCACATAACAATGATTCTCATGACTTCTATATGAACTCCCGTTATAATGACATTCTCGTCATACTGACATTTTTTGCTTGTACGGAGGGAGAGTGTTGTTATAACGGGAGTGACTTGTATTATGATATTTCCAATAATTAATTCGTTGTTAGTTTCGTCGCCCGTAATACGGTAATTAATTGTAATTACGTTTTTAAAGAGGAAAGTTACGATAATTACGTATTACGTACTTGCGGAATTAGGCCACATTGGGGTGTATGATGGACTATGTAGATCAAAACTAATTAACATCATATGGGGCTGCAACAAAACCAGACAAAGTGAACATTGGTATTACCAAGAATTTCAGGGATCAAAATTTAGTCATCACAAATGTAATGCAATTAACAATTTTATAATGCCCCATTATGTTACCTTTCCTGTTTCTTGAGTGATATATAGAATTACCCCTATATAAAAATAGTTAATATGAAACTCATTTACATCAGATCTACCATGAAACCCAAGAATTATAGTACCATTAGAAGTATTCTGAAGAAAGAACAAGGTGAAAAAATTGCTCCTTACATTTTCAAAATAAATGATACTCAAATGTTGGAAGCTTATCTAAGAAAAGAAAGGATTATTTATGAAATCTACCAAGAAGAAAGAGTTTTTAAAAGAGTATTAGAGAATTCTAATAAAGAATCAAGAAAAAAAAAGAAAACTGGAAGAATAACTTGACAAAACAAATAATTACTTTTTCTTCAACTTTGTTAATTTTTAATTACCTTTTATTTTCAATCAAGGTCATTTTTTAGTTTCTTTAACTTCAATTTGTGTAGTTAGTTGAGTCTGCTGTCTCTTTAACTGTTCAACTTCACTTTCAAGTCTTTGAATTCAATCTAATAATTCTTGCTTTTGCTTATTATGTCAATCCTTTGAAACTTATAAGGCTTCCAAATGAGAACTGGTTTCTTCCTTAGCACTGGATAGTTGCTGTTTTAAGTCTTTATTCTGCTGTTCTAATCTGCCAACATAACTCTGTGCCATTATTTCTGTTATGGTTGGGATTTTGACTGATTCATCTTTCCTTAAATCACAAAAACAGTCTATTCTATTTCTCATAGCTCGACCACAATCATTACAATGTGGCAGAGTATCATCATCAAGAGCTTTTTTGCACTCAACACAGATATAAGCAATATCGTTGTAATCATTATTGTCTATATTGTAAGATATTATTTTGTAAGTAGCAGTTGAACTCCTTTCTCTTTCAAAAGAGCAGAAATTACAATGCCATTTATCTTCTCTTCTTAACTCATTAACTTGGTATTCTAATTTCATACTATTTATCCTTTTGTAAAATATAGGTGTTGAATTTTTCCCTAGTTATTTCTTTTACTTGCTTAATTCTGTTCTTTACTTTGTTGGTTAGGAGTTTGAATTTTCTTTCTTTTTTTGGTAAGGATGGTAATTCTTGAAGTTGTTTGTCTGCTAAATAATTCTGCCATGCCACAGTGTTTTCTAGCAGTTCTATTTTTCTCTAGCTACTTCAAGAGCCTCTAAATGACATTCAGATGTTTCCACTTCTAGTTCTAATGCTTCTTCCAACTCTTGAT